TCGACGGATTTGGGATGGATGAGAATTGAGATGAGAGGCCAGCCATCTCGTTCCATGGAGAGAGAGGGGCATCGCCTTTGTTGACCCCGTTAAAATGATTTAACGACGATTCTTATTTGAGTTATTCTCGAGGTAGATGTTGCTGCCGGGGTGAAGGAAGGAATCTCGTGCCACTAGCAATTGTCTCACGAATCCCAAATGAGTAGGGCAGCATGCTGTGTGCTGTGGTAAATGGAACGTGGTAGCACTCCCTCCGATCCGTCCATGGTTATAACGTGTATTAAATAATTACTCTGTTTTGTGGTCAGCCGTACTTTTCAGAGAACGGGCAATGCTTTTATCTTACAACAAATTAGCATAAACATAAGTAGCAGCTAAATTGCAGCGAAACCCGCAGGACAAATGTATGTTATGCCACTAGTACTTTATAGGAGTTTGAAGCTGGTGGCATGCTAAAAATTGCATATAATTTGATTAATCGTTGATCAAAACTTTATTACAAAGTTTGATCTTTTCAACCAAAGCGCGCATTACAAAAATGAACATACGAGGGTGCTCTTGTGGATTTATCAAGGTATATTGCTATTTCTCTTTTGTTCAAACATGGCTCGATAAATAGTTCTGCAAACCATATATTGAGTTTGGGATTATATGTTGTGTAAAACATACTCCCTCCGGTCCAAATTGTAAGTCCTTCCGGCTTTTTGGCATACATGGTTCTTGCTGTGCTCCGAGATATATATTATGTTTAAATACATAAAAATTATGCACCTAGAAAAGCCAGAACTTATAATTTGAAATTGAGAGAGTATAATTTGACGTCTTTTTCTTTTTTTCTCTATAGCCATGTTTATTGGTTTCTTTTTTATAGGAATGTTTATTGGTTTCTTACAAGCCATGTCGGGTGGGTTCTTACAAAGGATGAGACTTTAGTGTCTAATAAAGTTTTCTTCATCTAAAAAAGAATTAAATTTACAGGGCGTTAGCATGTACATTAACAAAAAATACAAATGTGACATAATGTGAAGCATAAAGTATATTTTTAACATTTGAGTTATGAGTCAATTTGATTTTCAACCCTAAACTACGAAACCATATAACATACAACTTTCAACTATAAATCGGATAGATTTAGTTCTCTGGTTTAAAATGTTGTTTTTTATTTTCTAATAACAATAAAAATTTGGTTTGATCTGTATAAATTCATCGTTAATAAATTTTAAATCATAAAAATAGGATACTAATTCTAGTTTTCTTCTAGAAAATTTATATATTTGTTATGCTTTGTTTGGAGTTATTTGGATATCATTTGCTTTAAATAAGTATTGTGCATGACTACAAGCAATAAAGAAATAGGAAACCAGTTCAAAAAAAAACTATACATAGACCCCAAACCGGTAGATACTAATTTCTTATTTTTGATTTTGAAATAAATTAATTAAGAATTTTAGGAGATCAAACCAGATTTTTTATTATTTTTATAAAATATAAAAGCACATATGGAACCAACTAGAGGATCAAATTTGTCCGTTTTTACAGTTAAAAAAGTGTCATTACTCTATTTCATAGTTTATGGTTAAAAATCGGACTGACATATGCCACTTAAAGTTTGAAAAATGTACTTTATCGTGAGAGAATTTTTTTTATGGTTGAACAAAGTTGCTCTCAGACCCTAACGCGAGTGACAAGTTCCGTAGTCTAAATTGCGTTTTTACGATAGCAAGTGCCTTAGTATCCTCTGGACACTACTGCCGGTAGTCTAATAATGCTCTGGATAGTATAGATACCGTACAGTACGTGTTCATGTTTGGTGGGCAGAGGGGGTTGGACAAATGTGCCGGCCCAGTCCTAAAGACCTTACCGTTTCTGTTCGTATGTGTATTCAGTATTCGTGCCATTTATTTGCATGCTTATGTCTATCAATCTACGTAAGTACGTCCTAGCGCTATGCAGATGAAGTACTCCCCAGTCCCAGCATTGGGTCTATAGAACATTAAAACCTGTCTATTTTGCACGACCCTTGTTTACAAACTACCACTAGTACCGCTTAAACACTTATCCAAAAATAAAAATAAATAAATAAACACGTACTAGCACATATTTTGCACCGTTTCCTACTGTTTATATACAGTCTAATTTCCATTCACAAGTATCTTTACAAAAAAGAAACATTCATCTGTATTTCCCAATCACTTAATACGAAAGTCGTCTATGTGACAATCCAGTATTTGAGATTACTTGGACACTACAAGCAGTCACAATATAACCACTGCGCTAATCAACAAAGAGTGTGTATAATATCCTTGGTTAACTTTTATGCTATTTGTCTTATATAACAAAATGAAAATTCTTGACTTGCTTGAGGAAGAATGTGTAAAACTCAATAGCTCACTGTTATCACACAAATACAAGTAAAATAATGTTCTAGAATGAGCTATCGACCATCCAAAAGCTCTTAACAAAAACAGACCATTGAAAAATGTATTTTCCCTTTGTAAATTATAATACGAATGCAGACATTCGATACTTTGACACATTTACTTACGCCTACAACTCTATGAATGTAGAGCATGTATAGGTCAGACTCAGACCTACTACATCTTGATGTTGACGAAGTCTTCGTAAGCTCCTTGCCATCGAGCAAATTTGTTACCTTGCACAAAAAAGGTAATTAGGTGTAAATGCAAGTCCCCATATGGCCATACTGAGTTGAAGGTGGAGGCTCGACTTTAATTAAAAAACACTACTCCCTTAGTTTAAATTACAAGGCATATTTTATTTCATTGCGAAAAATGGACAATTGCTCTATTAATATATTTTTTGACAAAAATGTCATTATATTCGACCACAGAAAAGTCATACAAATAGATTTTAACCTGCAAAAGGTTCCGTAACGAGTGATACATCCATCCCATAAAAAGTGCCATTCTCATTTTCCGAAAAGTCAAATATTTTTAACTTTGACCAAATATATATAAGAAAATATTAATATTTATGACGCATAGATGGTATCATTGAATAGACCGTTGAATATATTTTCACAATAAACCTATCTAAAGATACGAATGTTGCTAATATTTTCTACAAAGCTAGTCAAACTTAAAAAAGTTTAAGCACGGGTCATATAGCGACTTTTTTATGGGACAGAGTAGTAAACTTCCATGTCATTGAACTTTTACTAACATGTCGTTAATTAATGTTCAAATAAATCAAACCACATTTACTTTGGGTGTACCAAAAACAAGCATGCATTTCCAAATTTTCGACCCACGCTAAGGCACCAACATCATCGAGCAGAAGCGGCTGAAAACCTCAATCAGCCATAAATAAAAAAACTATCACAGCACACAAACAGATCGCAGCGGTTCCCATCCAATGGGCTCCTTGTTCTATCCTGGAATTAAAAACTAGAAACTATTAAAAATGTTTAGTTTTTGGCTAGTATACGATCTAACCCAGACTACCATGCATCCTTTGTCCCATTGTGGGCTGCCTCCCTCCCCAATTTAGTGATTGGTTGATCTCTCAATTTCACGAGCCAAGGCTCGTTTAGATTGGAGTTAGGGATTAATATTTGGTATTGTAAGACTTTTATTTGTATTTGATAATTATTATCTAATTATGGCCTAACTAGGCTCAAAAGATTCATCTCGTAATTTACAATCAAACTGTGTAATTAATTATTTTTTTTATCTACATTTAATACTCCATACATATATCTAAAAATTTAATGTGATAGAAAGAATAAAAAAACTTTGTAATCTAAACAACGCCCAAACAACCATCCCCTGCTTGCGCTTGCTTGGGACCATCACCTTCATCTCCTTCCTCTTTAAACAATTTCCAGGATGAGAAAACAAAACACAAAGGCCTTATTTAGATTGTAAGTTTTTTCACTTTTTCTTTATCATATCAAATCTTTGGACACATGTATGGAGTATTAAATGTAGATAAAAAAATAACTAATTACACAGTTTGATTGTAAATTACGAGACGAATCTTTTGAACCTAGTTAGGCTATGATTGGACAATAATTGTCAAATACAAACGAAAATACTACAGTACCGAATACTGATTTCTAACCTCAATCTAAACGACCAAATTGTATTGGGGCTCGTTTAGTTCGGCCACTGCTCGGCGGCACTGTAGTTACAGTACCGTTTTGTTTTTATTTGGTAATACTTGTCTAATTTTTGACAAATTAGGCTTAAAATGTTTGTCTCGCAAAGTACAACCAAACTGTGCAATTAGTTTTTAATTTCGTCAACATTTAGTATTCCATGCATATACCGTAAATTTGATGTGACGAGGAATCTTCTTTTTGCATAGTATTAAATTCTAGATTTGGGAGGAACTAAACGTGGCCTTGGTCTTCTGGGTTCATACAGCACAGGTAAAGGAGGCAGCAGCAGACCAGCAGTGCATATCCCTTTTCCCTTCTCCACCTCCCGCAAGCAAACTCACGGCACTGCCCCCGGCACCTACTTCTCTCCAGTGCCGCTCCCTCTAGCTTCTTCCTCCCCCCTTTCATGGCAGGAAAGGCTGAGGTGATGATGTCCTAAGCCATCCAATTTGACCCATGCTATCCTGGACCTCTATACATACTGCCCCAGCGCAGGCACTCGCAATCTCTACTTCTCTACCACCGCGGTGCCTGTGCTAGCTCCTCTCTCTCTCTCTCTCTGCTTCTGCTTTTGCCTAAGCCTTCTGCAAGCTTTTGCTTTGGTTTAGGTGCTTCTTTTCCACTCCTTTACTGTTCCCCCACTTTTGCTTGCTTTGTCACGCACACGAAAAGCTCCTGCCTTTACCTTCTCGGACCTTATCTCCGCCCCGTAGTGGGATTTGGTGGGAGCTGCGCTGCTTGCCCCTCGCGTTTCTTTGCTCAATTGGGGTCACAGCGCGTGCTCGTGGACGGAATTCGGGTTCTTGCGCGGTCCCCGTCCCCTTGGCGATTGCGGACGCTCGCTGCAGATCTTTGCGTGATTCCGGGAGCGCCGGAGATGAACTGCGGGCCGCCCGACCAGCTGCCGCCGGCGTCGGCGCCGTCGTGCTTCCTCAACCTCAACTGGGACCAGTCCATGGCCGCCACCACGGCCGGCGACCACCTCGACCCGGCGCTCAGCTCGATGGTCTCCTCCCCGGCGTCCAACTCGACGGCTGCCGCGGCGACTGACGGCCTCGCTCTCCACGGGATCTCGCCGCAGCCGCAGTACGGAGGCACTCCGCTCAGCTCGCCCCCCAAGCTCAACCTCTCCATGATGGGCCAGTTCCACCACTACCCGCCGCCGCAGGTCGGCGGCGCTGCGCCCGGCGGCTTGCCAATCCTCGAGAACTTGATGCCGATGGGCCATCTAGACCAGTTCCTCGCCGACCCAGGCTTCGCCGAGCGCGCGGCGAGGCTCTCCGGCTTTGACGGCCGCCCCGGTGGAAGTGGCTATGGCGGCGCCGTCCCGGGACAGTTTGGCCTCCCGGACGCCGGCCCCATCGGCGCATTGAAGGAGCTGGAGCTCGGAAACGGCCGGGACGAGTCATCGGTGTCCGATCCGGCGTCCGCCAGCGCGGAGATGGCGCTCAAGGGGCCTTCCGATGGCAATGCAAAGAAACGGAAGGCTAGCGGAAAGGGGAAAGGCAAGGACGGCCCCGGGTCCACCGCCGCCAAGGATCTCGCGAAGGTACGTACGTGCACAATTGCGTTGCTTTGGTTCCCCGATTCCCCACGCAGTTCAGGTTTGGGGCAAAATATTTCATTCTGGGGACGTTTTACAGGAGGAATCCAGTGGGAAGCGGTGCAAATCGGCGGACGAGAGCAATGGCGCGGAGGACAACTCCACCAAGGGCAAGGCCGCGCAGAGCAATAGCGAGAATGGTGGAAAGAAGCAGGGGAAGGACAGCACATCGAAGCCTCCCGAGCCGCCCAAGGACTACATCCATGTCCGGGCGCGGCGCGGTGAGGCGACAGACAGCCACAGCCTCGCGGAGAGGGTACAGTTCCCTAAGGCTCAATTTCATTGTTCTTTCTGCTATCATCCTTGCTGGCTGTAGATTTGTGTGTTGAGTTTTCTCGCTTCTTGTGAACAATTCAGGTGAGAAGGGAAAAGATCAGCCAGCGGATGAAGCTGCTGCAGGATCTTGTCCCGGGTTGCAATAAGGTACTCACTCAGTTGATATCAGACACTTGCTGTCACTCGAGTAGTTTGGTGCGCTCAGATTTGAATTTGGGAAATGTTTCTCGTTTCAGGTGGTTGGCAAGGCAGTCATGCTCGATGAAATCATAAACTACGTGCAGTCCTTGCAACGGCAAGTCGAGGTATATTTCCACTGTCAATTCACAGCTGGAATGACTGTGAAACTGCAGTTTTTTTGCCGTTTTAGAATGGAACGCGGGTCGATGTGCTCTATCTGAACCCTTTCCTTTCACATCGATTTTGCAGTTTCTGTCCATGAAATTGGCCACTGTGAATCCCCAGCTGGACTTCAACAACCTTCCTAACCTCCTTCCTAAAGATGTGAGGACACGTATATATGATCGTTCACATTACTATGTTTGGTTCCTGGTATTGAGGGAATGGAGCATTTCACCCTGTCTCATATTCCAATTTCTGTTTGTAATCAGATACACCAGTCCTGTGGCCCGCTGCAGAACTCGCATTTTCCGCTGGAGACCTCAGGTGCACCGCTGCCATACCTTAACCAGCCTCACCAGGGGAACCCTCTAGGTTGCAGCCTAACCAATGGCATGGACAACCAGAGTTCTATGCATCCACTTGACCCGGCATTTTGCCGGCCAATGAATTCGCAACATCCTTTCCTCAACGGTGTTAGTGATGCGGCGTCTCAGGTAAAAATGCAACCACTGTCCTGACTCTTAAGCTTAGATCATATTCATATGCTGTGACACTGAGGATGAAACGTTGATACGTCACAGGTCGGGACCTTCTGGCAAGACGACCTTCAAAGCCTAGTTCACATGGATATCGGGCAATGTCAGGAGATCGCTCCTACCTCTTCGAATAGCTACAACGGTATGAAAAAAAAATCAGCATCCTATAGGCCGATATCTTAGTTGACAAACATCGCTAAATATGAGCTCTGACATCGAATTACCATTCACCAGGTTCATTGCAAACAGTCCACATGAAAATGGAGCTTTGACATAGACGAAATTCAGTCCAAAGCTCGACGCCCCTGTATATACAGAAGAGAGGACAGCTTGCAGCGGAAGCACTCTGAGATTCAACCTAACAACGTTGGGCCCTAGCAGTGTTTTAGCTTCTAATTTTCCCCCCTGGTGTAATGATTCTTTGAACAAGATGTGAAGATCACCACGCTGGCGGTTGGTCGCACCATCCCATCGCCTGTTTTAGCTGCAAGATCGCCCGCAACAAAACGCGGTCCATTGCGTCCCAGTATATTCTCAATCAGACCCTTATCCTCCTCTCTCTCAAGCGAGAGGGAATGAGGCCTGTAATATCATTTGTATTGCCATTATATTTGTAGCTGATATATATATATATATATATATATATATATTTAAGATCCCTATTCCTGTCATTCCTGATCTCCTTGAGCTGAACTCCCCGTGCCTGAATGAAATCATCATAGATTCTTAATTCTGATACCTGCATCTTTCCAATGTCATAGAATTGTTGTACCTGTTGCTTTGTTGAGCTCAGGAACCAGGATTTTTTTTCTTGGTTCTAGAATAAATTCAGCCAAGAAGCGGGATCGTGTAAAAAGGACATGAACAGAAGGAACAAGCAACTTGTGCTGGGAGTGGATTTGTGGGTGCTTTTTAGCTGTATGATAAGTAACCGGAGAAAGGGACAGCACTAGGCCAGGGGCTAGTAGCTGAGGACCCTTTTCATTCAGTGCGATGATGCTATGCTGCTTCTGCTTGTCCATGCACCCTATTCACTCGGTCGTAAATGAGGTCGTAAATGATTGTAAATTTTCAGTCAAAATAGTGTTTTTTTCTCACACCAAACCAGCTAGCAGTAAATAATCCACCATCATTTACGGTCTCCCAAACATAGCTACGTCGATTTTTTTTTAAAAAGAGAAAAAGATCCCTCTCTTTAGTCGTTAAGTAGTTAAGAATTGGAGCTACCAATCCACTTCAGTGAAGTCCAAATCATCCAGGCTGTGATCACGCGCCACAACGGAATCAGCCGAGCGAGTTGTTCTGATCTCTCGCTTTCTCGAGCCTGGGTCATAGCTGAGCCTGAGCCATCTCCAAATCATGAATAAATTACACGCTACACCTCATCTCCAAATCATGAATAAATTACACGCTACACCATCAGATCAGAGCAGTGCTTGCTTACTGGACTGCTACTCTCCGCTCCGAAACCCCCTGTTTACTGGGAACACTAGTGCTGCGGCTGCTACTATTCCTGAGTCCTGACTGACCAGATGCAATGGAACGGCAGCAGCATGAGCTGTAAATTTGCAGCAAAATAAAGTGCCACAAGATCGTAAGTCACTGGGGATTATTGTTCTGCGACCGGGAGGAGAGACAGAGGAAAGGCGAGACAAGGATGATGTACATTTATAAACGGCACAGGGAGAGAGGATGACTGTGCAACGTGATAGTGTCCCGTACAGGAGTTCTTCGTGGCCATTGCTCAGTGCGTCTGGGTCTTGCTACCGAGATCGTGGCCACCATGAACAACAGCCATTGCTTGCTTCCTGCTTGCATCCGAGATCGATCATGGCCCTGCACTGGCCACGAGCAAGAACAAGGAACTTCTGTTAATTACAGAGAAATATCCAGTGGTAAGCAAGATGATTTTTTATCGTATGGTTTCTGAGAGGACCACGGGTGAGTACACAAACTGATACGAGCAGATTTTCTGGTGCATGGATTGGATTGGTCAGAAGTGGGCGTTGTGGCCCCTCGTCGTTTTTTCCATGTCGAGAGGCTGCAACTGCAGCTGGAGCGAGCGAGGCGTGATTTTCTGTTAGCTTTGAAGCCAAGACTAGTGCGTCACCTGCCGCGAAAATGCTGCATTACAAAGGGGATGTGATGCGATCGCAACCACAACCGCAAGTCAAACGCCTGGCGCCCTCGCCTTTTTTTTTTTTTGGGTTGTGTGAGATATGTGTATCACCAGCTGGCCCAGATCTGGACACCATATTCCTGGAAAATTTAAGGTTCGTTGCCAGCCACAGCATGAGATGAAACTTTGATCGAGCACTTGTATTCTATACTAGTACGGTACGTGGTGTCACTGTCAGCATTTCAACGAGAAAGAACGCTAGCACTAGCTCCGTCCCAAAAATCATGCAATTCTAGGTTTGATCAAAACTAAATTATTCTAAATCTAACTATATTTTATGACTTCGAATAGGAGTAGCACGAAGCCACAGACGTTACGTCAAAATCCGTTCAACACACCATCGGTCTGTTCGCTCGCTCGTAAACGATCGTAAATTTTCACCCGTAACAGTGTTTTTCTCTCACACCAAACCAGCCAGCAGTAAATAATCCACGATACGATACGGCTGCCGAACAGGCTGCATACGGATACGGTAGCCTAGCTCACCTAGTGCCGTGCCATGCCAACCTGAGCCCCTGACGGGTCCTTTCAAGGCCGACCGATAGATAGCACCAGCCGACTGGACTGCATAGGCGTGACAGGAAAATATTGGGCGCCTTTTCTCAAGCCATCGAGTCTGAATCTTGTTGCTATTGCTACTAGCCTGCATACATGCAAAAAAAAGAAAGGGCTTGAACTGTCCATATCCGTTCCAGCTTTTGCATCGGCCATGCAATGCAATCATCAAAGCCAAGATCAAGTGAAGCCATTGTTGACCTCTGCAGCCCTACAAAGTTAGCCTCACTTTCTTTTTTTTTTTTGTTTCACCAGAAAGAAAACCAGTGTCTAAACTGATGAGCCCCAACTCCATCCGATCCGCAACGCAAGATTTCCGACACTGCATTGCACACACTGAAAGACTGTAACGATGATTAGTGGCCCACGAGACAAAGAGGGAGGCATGTCAGGTTCAGGTTTAGGCCATCGATCGGCTGATACATAAGCCGACTGAAACTGTTTTGTTGTGAGAAGGCGTAGGTGTGCATGCATACCAGCAGCAGCAGCAGCAGCACTGGCTGGCTCGCAGTTGGCATGATGGAGATCCCCCTCCTAATCCACGCCCATCTCATCGCATTGCCCACCCGACATAAGCAAAGCAAGCGCGCGAGGCGGGGGGCGCACAGGCGCCTCTGCTGCATGCCATCTGCCATGGCTGGTGACCCGTCGGCGTTGCCGCAAATCCCCATCGGCAGGTATAGATAGACTCTCGTGTCTCGCCCTTCGTTCATCGGACAGGTACAAAGACCGATTATTGCGTCCAGCCCAAAAACCCAGTCCACACCGTCGTACGAATGCAGATGCAGTCTCCAGACTGACCTTGCGTAGGACTAGTATTTCTTTCCTCTCTTTTTTTCTTTTGGAAAAAAAACATGGTATGTTGATCTAGTAGGAAATCAAAGCAAACCAAGCAAATCGCACCTGACACACATACTACCATGGTCATCATTTGTGATTTTGTGATTTCTTGTACAGTTTCTATGGTGCAGGAGGCCTGCAGGGCGAGTGGTAGGTCGACAAGTGTCCTATAGTCCTATTTGAGCCTGTTCGCTTGTCTGAATTTCGGAGGAATTTGGATGGTTTGGAGGAATACTGAAGGAATATGTGAGAGAGAAACGTTGTTCCGGATGAAAAAATAAGCGGATCAAACCGGATTCAAGGGCACGTAAACGGGGCCAGATATCTTGGGTGGGGTGAGTGAAGATGAGGAGCAGGAGTGGCCCTCCTGCAGGCTCCTGTTCCAGTGGCCTGCGTGCGTTGGTATGTGCCTATCAGCCAGGCTGCGCGCGCCCGCCCGCCCGTGGCCGGTGGCCCCGACCCTTCCCACCGCGGCACCCCCGGGCCGCCCGGGCATGTGTGCGTGTCACCACGGCCGTGGGACACTGCTCCCGCGCGCCCGTGTACCTACCTACTGCAGTATAAAACGTAAACGTACGCGGCAGCCTGCCTTGCCGCCACCTGGGCTCGACCCTGACGATGCTCGTGCTCTGCTACCGTCGGTACCGAGCAGCGAGCAGCCGAGCACTGGTTGGGGTGGCAATGGAAAAAGGTGCGGATGCGGATGCCGGACGGCGACCGGGCGCGGTACGAGTACGACACGCCCCCCGTGTCCCGTCCCGTGCGCGATCCTCGCAGCCACGCCGTGCAGCTTGCGATCATCGGTCCGCCAGCACGCCCCGTGCGAAAGGGCCTCCCGTTCGTGCGGTGGCGCGCGTCCTACGCGCACCGCTTGGGTTGCGCGCGCCGCGCCCTGCTGCCTGCGGTCCCGGGGCCTCCGCATTCTCCTCCCTGCACGCGGTGCGGAACTGCGGATGGCGATGGACTCCGCGGTCCGTGGGATGGGTTTGTGCCGCACGGACGCGGCCACGGGGGCCTCATCCTCATGGGTGAGGATTCGCGGTCGGGGCGGAGCGGACGCGGCGGCGAAGAAGGCGGTGGTGGCTCGGGTCTCGGCTCGGGGCGGGGAGCGAGGACGTGGCCGTGTTCCGGAACACACGACGCATCAGATCGGTCGGATTGGCGACGGGACGGATGGATGGGAGGGGTCCGTCCCTGCGCTGCGCCCGACATGTGCGGTGTGGCTTCGTGGCCTGGCCTGACTGAGGCTCGACGACTCGGGCCGGCGTGCAGGGCTAGGATTGCCTCCATGCAGTGGCCGCATGCACACGCCTAGCTAAGGGTGCTCATGCTCTGCTCTGGACGTCTGGTCTGGTCTACGAGACCGGTAGAGGGAGCTGGTCTCTATCGACTATCGCTCGCTGCCGGTCGCGGTGTACTTCGCCTCAGGGGGGCGGGGCGGGCTGACGTGCACGTACAATACAGGACCGCGGCTAGGCTTGTTGTAGCTGCACTTGTAGAAGTAGAGCATCTGGGTTAGCCTACAAAGGCTACACAGCTGTCAGTTCGGTTCACGTGGCCTAGACTGTAATTTTGCATCTAGCCCAGGTCCAGATGAAAAAATCGTGCAATTTGTTGTTTCGTTTTCGTTCGATATCATATATACCTTCTTATGCTTTTCGTGCCCAGCTGAGATACATCAATAAATAAACAACATTTTGGGTCCATTTGGACCGTAGAAATTTTATATAAATAATACAAAAATCATATGAATCAGTTATTTTAGCAAAAAAAAAACACATAAATAAACAAAGAAAAAATTTCCGCGCTATCCAACGAGACCTTTGCTGTTGAAAAAAGAAGCATGCAGGTACAGCAATCAATAACCAGCTTTGGCATTATTAACCTGAAATAAACCCAACACAAGTACGCAGGTACTTGCGCTACGCCGTAGCGCGTTGATGGATGGAACTAGGCACGCACTTCAACTATAAAGACGGGTGATAGATGCAGCCAAGCACACTATACGACGGTGCACGATCACCCTCATCAAAAAGAGAAGAAAAAAGGTGCGTGCAGACTGCAGACCCAAGTCAACATGGCCTCCGTTTCATTCATCACAAGTTCACAACTCAAATGTCATCATCAGTCGTCAGGACTCGGGAGGAAAAAGAATTTAATAGGCAATAGCTTTTTTTTAGGGGAATGAAATAGGCAATAGCTGAAACTGGCAACAGGAAGGAATCCATAACGGGCTCGCCTCGAAGTGGCGACTATCGGAAAGCATCGCTGCCGACCAGTCGGACAGCAGCCTTCCGCCGACCCCCCTTCCCACGAGCGTCGAGCGAGAACGTAATGTTTCTGTTAGCGCTTGTGTATCGACGGCCCACCAATTCGCCAAGGCCCAAGTGACGCTAGCGGTCCACTTCCTGCAGCAACATGTACAAGTACGTATGTATGATGCCTTTCTTGGTTTCGTTTGCTTGCTTCAATTTCTTTTTTGTTTCGGTGATATTTTATTCTTCATTTTCATTTCTTTATCTTTTTATCTTCATTTCTTTCCTTTATTTTTATTCTTATTCTATTTACTTATTTATTTATTATTCTGTTTGTCTTTCTCTTTTCTTTTCTACTTTCTATAGATTTTCTTATTTTCATTTCTTTTTACATTTTTACTTTATATCCATTTTTATATGTTTATTTCTTGTATTTCTAGTATTTCGTGAGATACATATAATGTTCGCGTAGTATATATTAATGATGCTACGATGTATTTTTCTTTCCTTTCGTTGATTTCTTTTTTCTTTTTTATGGCCTTTTATTCATCTTTTCACTTTATATATTTTTATCTTTATTTTATTCATTTTTATTTTGCCTTAATTGATTATTTTTAATTTCATGTTTTGTTTTCATGTGTTTTATTTTTCTTTCTTTTATTCTATTTACTTCTCTTTTCTTATTTTTATGTTTCATGTTGATTTTTTCATTTTGTTTTTCATTTTCTATTTTTCTTTTACTCTAATTGTTTTTTTATTTTTAATCATTTTCATGTTTTAGTTTTTTTTCTTTTTTTCCATTTCATATGTTACATGAGATACATGTCATATTTTGCCTAGTATACATGTGATATTTTTTATTTTTTCCTTTTCTTATTTAAGTTATTTATTTATTTTTCTATATGTTTAGCATTTGTTATTTAAGTTTTCATTTTTTTGTTATTTTACTCTAATTATTTACTTTAATAATTTTATCTTTTACTCTTTTTATTTGAAGATACATGTGATGTTCACGTAGTATACTTGTGATGTTCTATGATATATTTTAAGATGTTTTATGATTTATTTTGTCATGCTTATGTAGTATACATGTGATGTTCTATGATGTACTTTATAATATTCACGCAGTATACATGTGATGTTCATGTAGTATATATGTGATGTTCTATGATGTACTTTGTGATATTCATGCAGTATATATGTGATGTTTCACGTAGCATACATGCGATGTTCTATGATATATTTTCTGATGTTCGCGTAGTATACATGGGATGTTCTATGATATATGTATCATGTGATGTTCTATGATACCTTTTCTTTTGTTTGCTTTTTTTTTGCTTTTTCCCTTTCAATATTATTTTGAATTTTTGTTCTTTCTATTTCCATTATCATTTTATTTCCCTTGTTCTTCTTATTTATTTAACTACAATTGAATTTTTGTTTCTTTTCCTGTTACATAGTTTTCACTCTTTTATTCACTTATGTTCGTGTACTATACACACGATCTTCGTGTAATATACAACTGATGTTCTACGATATGTTTTACCGATGTTCAAGTAGTATAAGAGAGATGTTTCATTATTATCTTTGAATATTGACATGATACTTGTGAGATGTTTTGTGAAATATTTTAGGTTTTTCAAGTAATATTTAGGTGATATTTTTCTAAACTTAAATGGTTTGATATGCTTTAATAAAGAAAATATTTCATATTTATCACAAAACACTTATATGGTGCAATGGTAGGGAATTTACATCTTAGATAGTTAGACCATAAGTCTTGTGTTCAATTCAATTCCGTGCGATTACTATTTTTGTGAATCAGTATTTTCTAGTTTTTTTCTGAAGAAAGTGAATCATTATTTTCTAGTTTTTTTTTGTGGACTTTTGGAGTAGTGGTACAGTAGTAGTGGCCTAGTGGGGCTGGACTCCTACAGAGGTGCGTACAGTGCGTAGTACTACTGCACTGGATATGAGTACCCTACGTTCATTCACTGCATCGTGAGCGTCTCTTGCGCTGGTCAAAACCAAAGATGCACGCGTCGTACGAACCGGCGAGCGCGGACGCAGGCGGGGAAAGCGCGAGGTAGCAGGCGGGAGCGGACGCGGGCCTGAACCGAAAAAGAAAAAGAAAAGGCCCAACACGCGACGGAAAAGAATTTTCAGGGGTCGGCGCGGTGCTCGCTGCCACCCCGGGTCGGTAGGTAGGCGCTCCCGGCGACTATGGTCCATCAGTTTCTCGTGTTAATTGAGCCATAGTGTTTAGGCCCACTTTCTCCTAGTCCGAAACTCCAAATGCGGCCAGCCCAAACAAGCAATGGCAAAACAGGCCCAACAAGTAGCCCAACTCGTGACATGCTACTACATCCCCTCCGTTGAAAAACACCCAAGACCCCTGAAGTCCAATCCGACGGCCTGAAACTTCGGCCCCTCCGGGCACCGAGCCAAATGCAGCTCCGCGCTATCAGCTGAGAGCTCCCACGGCCCGCCCACCTGATTTCCGGTACAGTGGGCAGCGGCGATACGCCGATTACAAATAATACCCCACGCGTTCCCCAAATTCGCACCACGAGCGCGACGCGTCTGAGAGAGCCACCGCCATCATCCATCATCTCCCCGGAACAGAAACACGTGACTGGACTCATCATCTCCAGACTCGTTCGTCCCGTACGGCGGGCGCGTATGCGGAGGCTCGACGACGGGAGTTAGGGTTCGGCGGCCCTTCCAGAAGCTCCGGTCCCCTATCGGAGCGCGGCGATGCTCTCCATTTGCGGCCGCGGCGGTGGAGCCGTGGCAGCCGGGGAGGAACAGCGCGCGCCCTACCCGCGGCCGCAGCAGCAGCTCGGCGCGGCGATCGATGCCCTGATACTGAACCAGCTCCAAGGTTCGGACCGCTCCTAGACCCTCCCGTTCCGTCGGAATTAATTTCGTGGTGTGAAATGATCATTCGTTGGGTTTTTTTGGTTGGGTTCAGTTGATGAACGCACGCGGCTCGACATCACTCAACAGAGTTACAACGCAGGGGATTTCAGAGCGGCACTTGAACACAGCAATGCCATTTACAGGGAGAACCTCCTGCTGCTTGGCGCCGTTTATTTCCAGGTTTTTTCAGCGAAATTCAGGCTCATACCTTCTTCTCTATGTGTTCGGTGCGTTGTATACTTGTATTGATGCCTTTTCTCTTATAAAAAAAAAAATGTTTAGCTACGGGAGTTTGACATGTGCATCGCGAAGAACGAGGAGGCTGTTGCAATCCAGCCCAATTTTCCGGAGTGCTTCAACAACATGGCGAATGCATGGAGGGTGAGGCCATCTCCTTAGGAAAGTTATTGTAGTAATGTGCCGGGTTATGTTATTTGTATGGCTCTGTACATTTTTTGTTATTGTCTGTTGCAGGAGAAAGGCGATATAGATCGTGCCATCCAGTGCTATGAACATGCAATTCAGGTGAGTGTACTATCTGAAGACAAACCGTGGTGTGAAATGGGTGGGTTTTTGGTTGGGGGATGACGCACGGGCACTGATGGGGTTCATAGGGAAACTTGAACATGGCAGTGGAGCCGGCCCAGCTGGGCCCCACGCGTAACAGAAGCACACTGTTTACGGTGGTTGTTTTTCACTTCATTTTTTAATGATTTCAGACTTAGTTTTACATTATCCTTTGTCCAGCTTCGACTTCCACCGAATTTGCTGACGCATTCTCAAACTTAGTTATTTGTATGGGTACATTTTTTGGGGTGGGGTGGGGAAAGGGATATAGGTGACAGTGCTATGAACATGCAATTCAGGTGAGTGTACTATCTGAAGACAAACTGGGGGCACTGATGATGGGGTTCATAGGGAAACTGTTATGGCAAGTGGAGCCGGCCCAGGGGCCCACGCGTAACAGAAGCACACTTCTACGGGTTTTTTCACTTCATTTTTTTAATGATTTCAGACTTACTTTACATTATCCTTTGTAGCTTCGACCCACCTTTGCTGACGCATTCTCAAACTAACTTAGCGATTGCTTATACTCGAAAAGGAAATCTCATCAAGGCAAGCACGTGTTGTCATCAGGCGCTTGCACTGAATCCTCGTTTGGTAATTGACAGTTACTTCTGTTAATTGGATGCTAATGAATCAAATCTCCAAAATTAACCACACCTTCTGGTTTTGATTGATCACATACAAATTTAGGTTGATGCCTATTGCAACCTCGGTGACGTGTTGAAAGCACAAGGATCATACAGAGATGTAAGTAAGGAAACAAAAAACCCATCTATCCATGACATTGTTAACCAATTTATATCAAATTTGTTTTCCTTGTTACCATGCAGTTGTGCTTCATTTCAATTTTTTTTACGTTCACGCAGAGAGCTGCATATCTTTGTAATAAGAAGGATAAAAAGGGGTAAGAGAACCTTTACAAAAAGGTACACAGAAAAACAGACCCAACTCACCACTCTAGGAAAAAACCAGAAACTCTCCTATGATACAAAAAGCAAAAAACGATTACAACCAAAGATATGGTCTAGACCAAAGCCTTCGACGGGGCAGTTAGATATGAAATACTCTTTGCTCCAGGCATGCCTCAAAATCTCATCTCCTCACTGACTTATGACAAGAGAGCTCTAACATCTGGTGCAGCCCCATCAAAGACAAACGATTGCAGAGATTCCAAAGGGACCATGGCCCTAACATGATGATGGAACTGAGCTTTGAACCTGGTTATCAGCGGCATTGTGTGGTCTGGATCACCATTCTTCCAAGGAGGGCTCACCCAGCTGAGGGGAAAGCATCTGTAAACCCACCATTTCATACCAAGTATACTGCTGCTGTGTACTTGTGTATTGATAAATCAGTTATTTTATACACTGCTGACCTGACATCTTAATTTTCATTTCGTAGCATCTTGACAGTTTATGGTTGAAATAGACATAACAGCAGTACCATATTGGACTATGCATTGTTTCAGTCCAGTTCAACAAACTCAAATAGGGCTTATTTGTTGCTACTTTTATGTTTACAGTTCAGTCCAAAATGAAAACTGCACATTTTGTTTGTTATTCTTCGCTGAATTAAGATCCATTGTAATACTACTGGTCTACTTCGCATCGATCAATGAGACTAGCACGCACAATAATTTGGAGGTTGATGCGATTTCCATCTGGTGTAGGCATACAATTTGGAGGCTGTAAGCATATTGCCTAGTTGTGCAAGTGCATGGTGCAATATTGCTGGACTTTTCATGCAATGGGGAGATTTCAATAAGGCAGCTTTCTACTATAAGGTGTGTACTCTGCACTGACTTGACATTGCTTCCTGTTGTAGATGTTTGACTGCATAGCTTCTCCTTAGAACTATATACACTGTTTTATCGTGAGTCGATCCATAAGTTCATGAAGGAAACTTTTGTAAAGAATTTAAAATTCGAGTTTCTAAGCCATGTGGACTCTTGTGTAAGATATGGAATTTTTTCCCTAATTCTCTTGTAGTGTAACTGCTACCTTGTTTTTTTCTCTGAGGAATCACCGGTGCAACAACATTCTCACTTTTTAAGATTTGTTTTTACATCATAAGGAAGCAATTAAATTCAAGCCGTCATTTTATGATGCCCGTTTGAGCTTGGGCAATCTTTACAAGGTATACCATTCTGTTTATCTTTGATGCTGGCTTCAGGTGGAAATATCTTTCTGATTCAGTGATTCTTTGTGGGCAACATTGCCTTTTAGGCTGTCGGAATGTGTCAGGATGCAATTATATGCTACCAGAATGCAGCACAGGCATGGCCACAAAATGCAGTAGCTTATGGTGAGTGTAGATTCGCTCTGTGGTTGATATTTATTAACCAAGAAAACAATAACTTAGATTTACCCTGTGGTTCATATTAGCTGATAAAAAATAACTTAACCATTAATTAGCAACTGAAACTTGACTTCTGGGATAATAGTTACTCTATATGATGCAATGAGTTAATTCTTTCCCTAACAACGGGATATCGTTATTTGGATCAATTCAAGATTGTTTCTTAGGATTTTGCTGTTATCAGTTAGTTCTAGACAGTGTGCTACATTGAACAATACACTTGTAAAATTCAATGCATAATTAATGATTACTCATGGATGACATGGGTTTGTGAGTTTGTCTTGATGATGCTTTGTTTGCAGGTAGTCTTGGCGACGCCTACTATGAACAAGGCCAACTGGATCTTGCTATTTTAAGCTACAGGCATGCCACTAATTGCAACCCATCTTATGTTGAAGCATACAATAATCTGGTTCGTTTTTGGCATTCATCTTTGCTTTTAGACCCTCACTTCTTTTTCCATTCATCTAAGCATGACATCTAATATGTTTTGTATTCCACTGGAAGGGAAATGCTTTAAAAGGATCTGGAAAATGCGACGAAGCAATCTGTTGCTACCAGGTTCCCATCAATCTCTTAATTTTATTTGTGTTTTCATGTTTTTTTAATCCTAAATGTAAATTCAGTATGTCATGTGCACTTTGGTGTTGGCAGACATGCCTTGCTCTTCAACCTAATCATCCTCAAGCTCTGACAAACCTTGGCAATGTTTATATGGAGAGGTGATTATTGTTAGGATGTGGTCATTTATTTGGATTGTTCAAAGAGTTATACTTTGGAATTATTTGCAGGAGCATGCTGGACATAGCTGCTTCACATTTCATGGCAGCAGTTGCAGTTACTACTGGATTATCTGCACCTTACAACAATTTAGCAGTGATTTATAAACAGCAGGTACTTGTGCTATTGAACTGCTTCATTCTGCCAAATAACTAGCTAGAAACGTACTTTTGTTTAACATGCAATCTTGAACATTGTCCTGTGTGTACAGAATAATTTTCACCTAGAACATGACAATATTTTTTCTTATTGTTGAAACAGGGAAGCTATGATAATGCCATAGCATGTTATAATGAAGTGCTCCGTGTTGATCCTTTGGCTGCGGACGGTCTCGTTCATAGAGGGAATACATTGAAAGAAGCAGGCAGGGTCAGTGAAGCAATTCAAAACTATTTGCAGGCTGTTGCTATTAGACCAACTATGGCTGAAGCTCATGCAAACTTGGCTTACGCATACAAAGACACGTAAAGCAGTTCCTATCTCAATTATTGCAAGTGGAATGTACGCTTAAACCATATGATGAGCCATACTACGCTATGTTTATATGTTGTCATCTTGCATCATCATTTCCAGGGGCCTACTGGAGTCGGCAATTGTTAGTTACAAGCAGACCTTGCAATTACGCCCAGATTTTCCAGAAGTTACCTGTAATCTCTTGCACACTCTACAGGTGCGGTAAAATGTTTGCCACACCATTACTCCCTTTATCCGGCATGCTCAGCCATCCATTATTACTTAATGATAATGAGGAATAATTTTTACAATAGAAAAAGGTAGGAATTATTCCAGTGACCATGTGAACTTTGGTGGTGTACTAAGCTTACATATGAGTGGACACAATTTGTGGTGACAAAATGATTTTCATAGCACCTAGAATTCTTATTATCATGAAAACCTTGATTTACGATTTTTGTAGTGCGTATGTGATTGGGATGACAGAGAAGAGAAGTTCATCAAGGTAGAGGGGATTATTAGTCAGCAAATACAGGCATGAGCTTTTTATGCCTTGTTTATCTGTTCTCTTCATATATTCGCCTTAAGGAGTGTTTTCTTAATCTGTCATTGTATTTGACCGTTGTTCCAGATGTCCCTTCTCCCAAGTGTGCAACCATTCCATGCTATGGCATTACCGATTGATCCAACTCTTGTGCTGGAAATCAGGTGGGACTTCTTTTCTGTACCGACCTCTGTAATCTTTATAGAATGGATTAATGGTAGTTTGAAAATCACATTTTGCAAATCACAATGTTTGACTTTTTATTCTGTTTTAGTAAAAAATATGCAGATCATTACTCTTCGGTTGCATTGCGTTTTGGTCTTCCTGCGTTCACACACCCCTCTCATACTCCTATAAAGGCTGATAGAACTTCTCGGCTTAGGATTGGGTAAATTATCTTCCTTTGCTACATAAGATTGCTCTAACATATGCGTTGTTGCTCCCTGACTAAATCCTGTTTTTTCATTTGGTTTTTAGATATGTGAGTAGTGACTTCGGCAATCATCCTTTGTCTCATCTCATGGGATCTGTATTTGGAATGCACAACAAAGACATCGTAGAGGTTGTTCAGTCTTCTCTTCTGCCCTGCCATGTTGATATATTTATTGATATTCTGTGCAAGAGTTCTTTGAAGGAGAAATAGTTATTTATGAATAATTCTTCAGGTTTTCTGTTATGCACTGAGCCGAGATGATGGTACTGAATGGAGGCAACGTATTAAGGATGAAGCAGAGCATTTCACTGATGTGTCAGCAATGCCATCTGATATGATTGATAAAGTTATCAATGAAGATAAGATACAAATTCTTATCAATCTTAACGGATATACAAAGGTAGTATATATGTATATTTACTGGGACAATTGATCAGCATTCTGTTTTAATTCAATGTGCATATTGCTTTTTTGTTCAAGTTTTATTTGTTTTTGGTTTATTGATTCCATTGTACCGCTCTGAGCTTTGCGCTTTCTGCTGCCCCCAAATTGGTACAGTTTCCCATTTGCATAAGATACCTAATAAGAATCCTAGCGGTACTTTACTATTCCAATTTTTTTTGACTAATCTTGGAAATGCATGGACAGTCATACTCAATTCATAAACTATTCTGAAGGATGGCATTAGAACTGTGAACTATTCAGCAATTCAACTCTTAATTTGGGGCACTAGTTTGTAACTGAGTTTCTTATCCACGCAACGCCAACCTGTGTAATCGAAGTCATGATGTTCACTTTTTGTGCGAACGTGCTAAGCATGTTTTTCATTAAGAGGAAAGCAAGCGTTAACAACAGTCGTAGTAAGCCTAGGCTTACCCAATTACCGAGTACAAGATTAGCGATTTATATTACAGATATTGAAATTTGGGACAGCACGCTAGAAAGCACACAACAAAGGGTGAACTTGAAGCTCCTTAACATAATAATATCGAAGTGAGGTGTTCATTAATTTTTCTCAGTGCTTTTACTCTTTGCAATAAAGTTTGTTTGTTGTTTCAGGGTGCAAGGAATGAAATTTTCGCCATGCAACCTGCTCCAATCCAGGTTTCTTACATGGGATTTCCTTCAACTACTGGTGCTAGTTATATTGATTATTTGATTACTGATGAGGTAAAATATTGAAATCTTGTGCCCTAGCTTATTCGAATGGCAAGGCCTTTCTTTTCCTTCATATTAAATTTAAATTCATTGTTATGGCAGTTTGTCTCTCCGTTGAAATATTCTCATATATACTCAGAAAAGCTTGTCCACCTTCCTTACTGTTACTTCGTGAATGATTATAAACAGGTATGTATTGTATCATATCTTATTTATCAGGGAAATTACTTTGAAAATGCCTCATAAGATAAAGTAATGCTGGAGTACCTAACTGTTATGCTTTATATTCAAAATGTCGATTGCTTTGATATAGAAAAATCAAGAAGCTCTTGATCCAGTTTGCCCACACAAACGAGCCGACTATGGCCTGCCGGAGGACAGATTTATTTTTGCATGCTTCAATCAGCTGTACAAGATGGACCCAGATATATTCAACACCTGGTAAATCCGTATTATGCTTACAGCTAGTATGCATTTCATGTAGGTTAAATCAATCTTAAGAGTAACCATTATCATACTCCCTCTGGTTACCAAAAGTTGACATGTTTCTCAAAGGCAACTTTAACCATAGTTCCAAAGGTAGCATATATGTAAAACCAACTAAATTATAATCCTAAATAATTATTTTTTAGATTAAATTATATATATTCTTCATGTATCCAATAAAAATATCCATAAATATATAGATAGTCAAGGATTAAAATGTTTTGGTGTAATGCTAGAAAATAGTAGTAAATAATATACAATCTTGTTTATCAGAGGTATTAGTATGGCTTCTTAGTCTCACCTATATGTATTTTGTCAAAAATCAGGTGCAATATTCTCAAACGTGTGCCAAACAGTGTCTTGTGGCTATTGAGATTTCCAGCTGCTGGAGAGATGAGATTGCGTGCATGTAACATATACCCCCCTAATTTTCTCGCTTGTGCAGATTATGCCTTCCAACCTGCATTTTCCTAATTTTGCACTTCTGACAGATGCTATTTCAAAAGGAGTAGAGGCTGATCAAATAATATTTACAGATGTTGCTGCAAAAACTGAACATATTAGGCGCAGTGGCTTGGCGGATCTCTTTCTCGACACGTAAACTATCCACACTTTCTCATCATATTTTGCTTTTCTTTGAGAATCTCTAACTTTAGAATTGTTGAATGAACAGTCATTGTGTAATGGCCACACTACTGGTACAGATGTACTATGGGCTGGCCTTCCAATGATTACTCTTCCTCTGCAGAAAATGGCAACAAGGGTTGCAGGTTCACTCTGTCTAGCTACTGGGGTTGGGGAAGAGATGATAGTCAATAGGTTAGACTTCACATATAAGAAAACCGTACATTTCTCTCATCGTTGATTTTTTTTCATTGTTAACTGGATTTGCTGTTATTCAGCCTAAAAGAATATGAAGAAAGGGCTGTATTTTTAGCCACGAATCCATCAAAACTTCAAGCTCTTACAAACAGGCTCAAGGCTGTTCGGATGACTTGTCCTTTGTTTGATACATCTTGATGGGTAAAATTTCAACCTTGTTTCCGCTCAGCACCATTACATTCAGAGTTAGTAATTTAACTTTGGTTTAAAAAAAATGCAGGTAAGGAATCTGGACAGGGCATATTTGAGAATGTGGCATCTTTATTGCTCTGGTAGCCATCCTCAACATTTTAAAGTGGTAGAAGACGACACCCAGTTTCCCTTTGATGGATAAACAATGTTAGCGGATCATGTAAATATCATACGAGGTAAGTATATTAGGGTTGGCCATATGGGAGACAGTTTCATTTGAGGCCTCCACCACAGCTAAGAGGATCTAGACCCTGCTTAAGAGGTAATAGAAGCCTATATTCGGTCCTAATGCTTGAACTGACAAACAGGTCCATATTAAAATCTTGGGGAACAGAACTAACCTGATGATGGGTTTTTATGCAAAACTGATGTGTCAGACGGTTGGGCTCCTAGGGAACCTACTAATTTTCTGTTCTCGAGCCCCCAGCGAAGATTAGCCTACAGTTAGCCAAAGAGAGCTAGACTGTTCCGATCAATGTCTGGAGTGTATCCTATTGTTAGCCAAAGAGAGCGAGGCTGTTCCGATCATTGCTTGGAGTGTGCTTGGCCTGGAGCGTTGGATGTTCTGGACTCTGGAGTTAACAGTTGACAGTTCGTTAAAGGGCGCTGCAAACCTGTGTCTGCCTATCGGTCTAATGGAAATAACTGTCTGTTCGGTACCATTCTGGTGATGGTATTTTTGGTTTGTTGATTTCACCGTTTGCTAGTACTAACTTCTGATGAACGAGATATGCAGATTGATTGATGCCCGAGCTGGAGGACGCGATGTTTCCTTTCAATCAGGCCGCTGATGCACCTTTTGGGACCCTGTGATGCTTGGCCTGCGTGATGCCTGCCCTACCAATAATGATCCCTCTTGTAGACTTCAGTTTTGCAGGTTATCACTCCTTTGAGGCTGGTGCAACCAGTTTCGTTGACCTTCGGTGTGCAACCGTGCGTCATTCACTGATCCAACTAGAGCAAGCATAGCTATTCAGCGGCGCATTAGGCAGTGGAGAACTTCCGCACTGCAGTTTCTGCGTCATCATATACTACGTTTGATGATGCACAGGGACAGCTGCAATACGGAGGAGGTACATGTCGTGGCTGCGTGCCACGTCCTCGATCCACAGTAAGAATGTCTGTTCGCTTGCTCGGCTCGCGTCGATGCGGTGCCCGACGACGAGGACGAGGCAGGTATGCTGACAATTAAGGACAACAGAATTGAAGTCTCGGCAGCCTTTCACAATGAGTCTGACGACCGAGGGAAGTCCTTATCGCATATGAGGCAGTGGTCCTGAAACGGATGACAGAGCTTACCGCGGTTTTGTTGAGAGAAAAAAAAGGTTTGTTTACTTAATCGCTCTATTCGCTGGGCTTATAAGCCGTATTTTTTTCAGTAAACGAATACAGTATTTTTCTCTCACAACAAATCAGCCAACAATACTTTTAGCCATGGCTTATCAGCCAAGCGAAGAGGTCAAATGAACATGGGCCAATTTTGCAAAATATAACTAAACCCTTGAAGAAGGGTTCTTTGCATTCTCTTACATAACCATTCTGTTTTGGGATGGCCGTTTAGGTCTAGTTTAATCCCTCGATAGGTCATGAACTTTGCCAACAGTCCATGTAACACGAGCACAATTAAGACACGTTTAAATTGAACATGACAATGTCCAGATGTACCGAGGATATGAGATGCATGTATTCCAGTTCTACGCACTGCAGGAAGAAGCTGATGCAGAGGGTACGCGGAGGCTGACTACGAAGTTAGGCCACGATTTAGGACTCAGCGAGGAAGCTATAACAGCGGCGGGCGACTGGATTGGAGGAACACAAGGACGACGGGCAGAGCCAACAAGGTGCACCGCTTGGAACCCATGCAGCTGTCGTTTGGCTTGGAGCAGCTTGCATGTATTCAGGGACAGAGCCAGGATTTGACCATAGGGGGTGCGTTTTTGGTATACCAATGATAACCACATATGATAAAATATGCGCACGTACATACACATATATGTATATTGAGTTAGCAAGAGTATAAATAATAACCAAATCAATATTTGTTTTGCGATACAAAAGAAAGTTAAACGTCTAAAATGATATTGAAAATTATTGCGAAAGAAAAAAAAATTAAAAAACCCTAAGCATCTAATCTCTACCCAACTAATCTAATTCATAGAAAAAAATCATTGTAATAACGGGAATAAAAGAGAAGGGAAAGATAAAGCACTAACAATTAACGTCATAACTAGCTAATTGGTAGTGTATTATGTAGATCAACTAAGATGTTGTGTAGGAAAAACTGCAACAATTAATAATAACAAGAAGAAAATAGAGGGAGAAATCATATAGATGTCAATAAAGACTAACACAAAGAAAAGATGATAAATAAATATAACACTAATTAGTATTTTTTATTAACTAATTAAGGGGTTATATAGTGGGCAACGTATTTGGTGCAAACCAACTAACCTGTGCAAACTTAGAAACTACCAATCATGACCACTAGATGCTGATCCAATGAATAGGGTGAGAGGTGGGATTTTTTTTGCGTTTAAGCTCCCCACCCGCCGTCCTTTTTTTTTGCGCTTAAGTCCCCTCACCCTATCCATTGGATCTGCATCCAGCGGTCCTAATTGGTAGTTTTCAAGTTTGCACATGATACGTTGCCATGATACATTTCTTTTTATTCTGATGGCTTGGATTTGCATTGGACTCTATTATTCCATTGATCTGTGTGTGTATCTCCGATCCACAGTGAGCAATAGTATAAGAACGCAGATAATTAACAGGTGAACAATTTTCAATTTTTATGGAAGTTTGATTAAATTTGTAGACAAAATATTAATTTTATTATAAGTATCATTAGAGTAATTATGAAATATATCTTCGTAGCCAACCTTTCCGAAACATATACTCCGTAAGTTCACACCATTTTTTATAAACATAGTTAAATCTATATCTATATTGGAGTGAATTTTTTCCTCCAAATTTTGGTCCATTGTCCTCACTCTCCTGAGCACAAGAGTACTAGCTGATTTTATTAGGAGTAGTATTACGTGATGAATTAGACGGTAGAGTCCTAATTAGTTTACTGTCTTGTTCGAGAGTCAAGACCCCAATCAATGACCGTGCTCATATGAGTTAAACATATTAGAACAAATGACGCAAGGTGTAAATTTTATTGTAACGTTTGGACATATTTGTCAGTATATATATTTTTGATTTATTTAGTTTAGAATTACACTCTTTTTAAGATGGACGAGTACGAATTGCTTGTCACCGAGGATCTTTTATGTCTATATATGATATGACTAGAATCATGCCCATGCGTTACATGGTAATAAAGTAATTCACTATAATTTTAACTTTATAGATAAATGCCCGTCCGTTGCAATAAGAAAAAATAATACTACGATAATGTTAGTATGGACTTATATTGTATTGTTATATCCCAAAACAATACTTCAAACGTGATGTTTACATGAGTTCAAGCATATCTGGAAAAACCATATAAAGTGACTACAACGGGATGGCTGCACAACACAATTACACAAAGTGAAGTGAGATTCGTGTCACCAAAAGATTTCTTAAATTTCCAAATGTCGATTAATTGTTGAATATGAAATTCTGAATCCATATTAATGCACCTGTTGTTTGATTAAATCCTTCTTGTTCTTGTTTCAAAGAAAAAAAGAATTTATCTACTCAGACAAAGCAAAGCATGTTCTCAATACGTTGCCTTAATTGCACAGGTTAGTTGATTTGCACCTGATACGTTGCCATGTATCATTGTATCAGCCAGCAGGCCCAATTAATTGGACACGTACGCCTGCATATATGAACAGCTGAATATTGCACGGCCACGAATTAATTAAATATCAGATATACTAATGATTGTAGCTAGAAATTTATCACATCAAATGTCGATGGAACGTAGCCGGATCGGAGGCGGGGGCACAACACGCATATATCTCTTTCCGACCATTCTACTGGTTCGGTGCAAAAAACTAGGTGATGTATGACTTTTTTTTTGGAACAGTGTTCCTTCAGAAATGTCTAGACCTATATATAGGCCGTATGAAATGGGGCGTGTAGATTTTCTACACAATCTTATACAACTCTATTATATTTGTTTAATTTGAACATATAAGCAACGCATTAGAAATTAGCTGTACGCCTGTACATCGTTTTTGAGACCGTGTCAAGAGACCACCAGCTTCTCTCTTGTGAGTTGTCAAGGGATTTGTTTGCTGAGACCAGGGTGAAGGGATTTGCTAAAAAGGAGAGATATCATTGGTGTGCAATCAGGGCTCGATAATCCCAAATCAAATAAACTTTGCAGAAGGCGAGATACACATTATCTCCTATAGTGTTCACTGCTTCGCTTTACACGTGTAACACTTCATCACTATTAGTGCTTCCTGTTAGGCTTCGTTTTAAGTGTATTCATCAGATCGGGATACTTAGCATAGTAGTAATAGATGTTCGGGATCACAAAGAGACAGAGAGAAAGGGGTGATAGGTTGCAAACCATCAAATGCTCCTAGTTGTCAAGTATCATGAAAACGGACGCCATTTGGTTTTTATTTATAAATGGATATATAGTCTCTCCCCACCCCAATCCGCAACCTTACTTTAAGTTCTATTATTGGAGCTAGTATATTTTATCTTTTTTGTGCAGACCTAATTCCTGTTGGTGGTGCTTCCGTGTTGGCGGCGCCTTCTCAAGATCAGGTCTAGGGATAGGATATAGGTGGGGTGATGGGGCATACGCGATGAACCTCAGATCTATGAGCCCCGCCCCCACCTTTCCTTTATATGCTGTGCGGCTACTACCAACCATGTAGGGTTGGCGCCCCCGATCGAATAGCGAGGACAAGGCCCGATTAGGCTGTTGGTGGGAGATCAATCCTAACATTCTCCCCTTGATCTCTCATCTATTCTTCGTTCTTTAATTTCATACT